AAACCTTGGTTTCTCGCTAAGCTCACTGCCCGTTGAAGAATAACTTATTTGAGGCACCTAAAATACGATTTAATAACTATTCGTTTTTCTCACGGACTTTTTTAAACTTATTTATCTAGTGGAGAACAAATTTGATATCAACAAATGAAATACATATAAGGTAAATGTTAAAGTCAATGAAATTTTTTAGTATTTTCATTGAAATTATTTTGGGAATGAACATTTACTTTAAATAGTTGTAGCATAGATGCTACCATAACAGAAACTTGACTACTGGCAGCACCAATAACAGCTGTAACTGGATGATGTTGATAGATTGGCTTGGAACCATCAGAGCAGTAAATCTCGTTCTCTTGCGACATTATCGTCTTAATGAATACCAGCGTTTGTTCCAGCGCATACGAATCAGTTGAGCTTAAGCAAATAAATTTGTAGACATTTTTTTATTAAAATTCTGGATCACAATTGTGGCGCAATGTAATAAAACAATAAATGGCGCTGGTCAAGAAAGTAGGGTCAATGTCAAGCGCTTTTTCTGTATAGGTTTAGGTTCAACCGAAAGCATTATAAACAAATCAAAACTTTAAAGAAAAGTCAGATTTTGGAAAAAACGAACGCGGACACGAATATATACAATACTATCACTGACATCTCGTTTCAATACTAAAACTCCTTTCTGAGCAAGAAAGCTTAATGTTTCAGATTCCAAAACTATTAAACAATTATCTCGAAGCAAGTCGTTAGATAAATAAGATTTAGTTGGTAAAACTGAAATTTACCATGTGTCAAGTATCTGTGCGCCGAGCACAATGCCAGGCAAAATTGTCTCATCGTTGTTAACCAAATCAAGTGCATAGATCATTGCTTGGAGACGTTGTACACCTTGCGCTGCTTTCAGAACTCCACATTCAGAACCGTTGAGGCCTGCTTCATGCACGGGGAAGAGGCCTCCAAGCATTATATCACCTTTTAGGAATACTTGCCGACCAAAGAGGATCGGTGAATTTTCAGCCAATAAAATGATGAAAATGAAACGTAAATTGTTGAATGGTTTAGTTAACATATGAATTTTGGTCTGTACTGTCGTCATTATTTCCACTGCTAACGTCGATATTGCTATTCTTACTGCTGTTGTATTAAGCGTCAAATGCAAAGAATATTTATTACTGTTGAAAGGCTGTGTATCTTAAGATGTTGTTGCAAGAAGAGCAAGGAATGTTTCGTACAGCCAGCATTTTTTGAAAGGAATCACTGATGCCGACAATTTCGTAATAATTTTCCTATATTCAGGATCTTCACTGAAAATTATGCAAATTATCAGGAAATTCACGACCAAAATGTTTTGAGTGTCCAGTGAGTGGACAAAATCACGTAAAGTAATCAATGTGAGTAAACAAAATAATTAGTTTGCAAGTAGTGGGAATAATCCATATAACTGCCATTTCACCAAGGAATAGCATAGATAACGATGATAGAAGGATATAATTAAGTTGAAGTCAAAGTTAAATGAGATCTGTGCAAAATTAATCTTCGAGGAAAACATTATTGAAAAGCAGTAATAATGAAATTTCCGCGGTTAACACTTTATTTTCTTCTCTTCTTATTATCTTCAACTTGTCTCCTCGTTTGTTCCTTATTAATATTCAGTGTCGCTTCTGCCTCAATCCATTCTACAGAATAACAATAGGCTTATTAACATATCTTAGTTTTAAATTAGATTAAGACTTGGAAAAACATTAAATGCATCCTTTTCATAACTAATAGTCTCTATTTTTCATGCCACCATATAAATAGATCCCAAAATTATTAAAATAAAATAGTTTTATTTCAATATAGTGACCGTTGAAAGGCAACACTAAATAATTCCTTGAAGTGAAAAATAGAAAAGAATTGGAATAAAAAAATGCCATGAAATATCATGAAAATGGAATTTAAATGTGATGGTATTACAAAGCATTGAAAAATAAAAAGAAATTTTATCCTAAGACACTATTTTGTATATTTTGACAGAAGCTTTTGATGTCTTAAAAATATCTTTTGTTTGAAATTAGTATTCCAAAGCGATACCGAAAAAGGATGAAATAAGGAACCGGTTGATGCGCATGCAATTTCTTAGAAGTTTAATTTCTAGTTGAAAAAATGGGCGCAGTTTCTGAACCGATCCATTATTTAGATTTCTGCATGTTCCAGTTGCTTTATTGGGAGATAGCCCTAGCAAATCTTTTAAAAAATCTTCAAGCTTGGTCGAGAAATAGAAAAAAAAGGAAAATAGATTTTCCAGAATTTCTCATAATTGAAAATAAACGAGGAAAACGAATGGCTATTAAATCGTATTTTAGGTGCCTCAAATAAGTTATTCTTCAACGGGCAGTGAGCTTAGCGAGAAACCAAGGTTTGTTAGA